ATTTCATATATTATTTCATTGGGCAACATTTTTTTAATCTTCTGTTTCGATGCAAATATTACAAATAACCTTATTTATAAGATTTAAAAGGAATCCTTTTTGATAATCATCAATATCATTTTCATTTCTAATTTTTTTATGTTCATTTTTTGCTTCATTAATATCATTAATGAGATCTATTTTATGTAAAAATCCTAAAAAATTAAACCTTTGTGCACATTTTTTTTGTAAATCATCTTTTAAAAAGGAAGGTAAAGAAGAAACTTGAATTAATCGAGTAACAGATTCTAAAAAAGAAAGTTCTAAAAAATTTTCCTTTTTTACGTTGTTAATGATAAATAATATATTTTTATAGTCTTTTGATATATAATTTGCATATTCGGTTATAAAATCACAACATTTTTCATTATTGGCCAAATTTGTATAGAGTAAATGTATTATAATAACGAATAGTATAAATAAATTTTTTTTCATTTTTTAGTTTCATTCACACAATGAAATTAGATAAGCTTATATATATTTTAAAGTAAGAATTCTTGATTACGTAATTGGAAATTCTGTTTTATCTAATCTCAAACTATACCAAATTCGTAAAATTATGAATAAGGAAAATTATTAATTACTATAATTTATCCAAATTTATAAAATTACAAATAAGGTAAATTGATAAATTACTTTTAACCAAATTCGTAAAATTACAAATAAGGTAAATTGATAAATTACTTTTAACCAAATTCGTAAAATTACAAATTAGGCAACAACATTCTTAATTTTAAACCCGTAAAAAAACTTGGAAATTTTTCGTTTGAGTTCAAAACATCTATAAAAAGAGCTTGAATTTCAACACTTATCCTTCATCGAATCAACCTTGATTTGATAAATTGAATACAGTCTCTTCGAGCAAGTTATTCATTAAGAAACAATAATTATTGTTTCTTAAAATGTCTCAAACTATTACTCGAGACATTACTACACATTTTACATGCTTTGTCCCTATTAATT